GGAGGGGTTGAAGATTTGAAGAGAACAGGGATGATTTAGAATAGACATTGCAGAGAGTAAGGAGTGAGTGGACAGGGAATGTTTGGGCAAGTAAAGATTGGTAATGATAATTTGTAGTGGTGCATTGATTTGCCTTTGCTTTGGAAACAGCACAGCTGTCTTTTCCTAATAGGGGGAACTGGGTGTGTGTATATGGGAATCTCTGTACTACCATCACAATTTTTCTATAAATTTAAAACTACTCTACGATAAAAATTTTTGTTTAAAAAATTAAAATTTAAATAAGTGAAAATCTCTTGACTCTCACTTACCTATTAATTTCTCAAGAGCAGTTAGAGTTTTTAGCATTATATACTATGTATTTACAAACGTATAAACATTTACAAGCAGCCAGAAATTTATGAGCTTTAGTTTTAAACAAACGGGATCCAACTGTATGCATTGTTTTTATTTTTATAACTTGCTCTTTTTACTTTATATCTTGGAAAATTTTCTCCCAGAACATACAAATCCTTTGTACACTTCTGCATTGGTCTAAAGTAGCTGTCTTGAAACTTCTTAGTCACATACTCGTAAGAATTTTGAAAAGTTTTGTGCCTTTTGTACAGTTAAGTTGATCTAAATTTTTCAGCAGAAGTTACAAAGCATGTACTTTTCAGAATGTTTTCCTTTTGCCACATAAAAATAATAGTTATATCACTCATTTAAACATACCCAAATGCTTCTAAATATATAGCATTTTGATTCCCATTGCCATTTATTTAAAAAATGCATGAACAAGTTGTTCTTTGCCATTGGAAATGTAAGTCCTTCTTTTGATTCGCTCCTCTCCATGTCTCAGACTTTTATCGTAGTTGAAAACATTTTTACACTTGAAAGGTTTTTCTTTCTTGAGTTTTTCTTGACTTTTCTTCTTAAGTTGTCATGTTTCTGTAACAAATGTGTATGTAAACTTAAATTTTAATTTAAAAAATTCCTGTAATCATAAGACCCTTAAGTGTTAACTTGGTCCAGAAAAAATTTATCATTACAATTACTAGTAGTATTCAGTTGGTCACATATATCACAATTTTTGATAAATTATTCCCAACCGTGAAAGTTGAATTTGATTGGAAATATTTTTATAATAAGACGATGGGTCCTATTATTTTCCTTGATTAAACCATAAATCTGTGAATAACTTTGCTAAGATGAAAAAGATTTGAGAGTTTTTATGCCTATTATTTTTATAGACAATAATAGCCAAAAAAACCCTATTCATGTAGCGAAGTATGTCAGAATGGAAGCTTTATTATGGCAATGTCTTGAGTTCTTTGAGTTATATGCCAAGAATTCCACAACTCAATATTATTAAAAATTATTTATGTCCTATCAGATAACTTCATTATGACCTCTTTCAATTGTTTTTCTTTAATGAAGTGTAGTTGATTTTCAGTGTTTCAGGTGTACAGCAGAGTGATTCAGGTACACATATACTTATTGATGTCTTTCAATTTTGATGAAAGCAAAGAATTGGAAACCATCTAACTTGAAAAAGGATTTGTTAATCATTAGATAACTCACTTCATTTAGGGGGTTGCTTTTGTTTTTCAGATTGTGATATTTTTTATACTTTTGAGGGAAGTGGCATATTTCTTTTTTTTTTTAAACAAAGCATTTTATTTGTTTGTTTGTTTGTTTGTTTATTTTAATGGAGGTACTGGGAATTGAACCCAGGACCTCGTACATGCTAAGCATGTACTCTACCGCTGAACTATGCCCCCCCACCGCATATTTCTTTTGAAGTCTCCTATTTGCTATATCAACATTGTTTCTCTGGGTGGTTATTCTCTTTGAATGTGAGGCCCTTCTTTTTGGTAGGAGGTTCCCTTAGTTATTTGGCAATACCATCTATTGAGGTTCCTGGTGATACAAGACTGTTTGGTACCAGCTGCCTCTGGCAGGGATGTCACAGTGCTGTCAGGTGCGATGTGGGGCTCCCCGCCCCTCTAGATATCACCACTCACCCAGTGAGATAGCATCCTCTTCTTCCATCTTGGGTCTGGCACAAAGCTGACTGCTATGGGGTGAGGGAAGGAAGGTGTAGGGGGAGTGGGGACTGGCCTGGAGGCTTTTAACGTAGTCCTGTAGTCCCTGCCGTCTCTGAGCGTAGAGTGCTTCGGAGTCCTGTCTTCCTGTGCCCTCTTTGTGCTGGGTTTCTCCTTCTGTGTGGTCTGTTTGCTACATTTTCTTGGATATTCGTTGTAATTTCTGGTCCACTGGGGTCTATCCTTGATTTCTAGATCTTTTATTACTTTACTTTAGCAATCTCTTCTGCCCTTTCTAACTACTTGTGGTTGTGTGTTGCGGCTGGCTGGTGTGCTTCAGTTGGCTAACTGCCCACTGTTGAAGGTGCTCAGTTAAAACAGGACTTTCTGTCTGTGAAAGTCTTCCTTTTTATCCCCAACTCTGATTCCTCACATTTCATTCCTTACCAGTGGTTACCAATGGTGTTTGGTATATTTTTTCCCATATTTTTTCTGGTTATTTATGTATATTGTTTTTTATAATGCTATTATGTCATATTTGCTTTTTTTTTTCCTGCTGTGTCTTTGACATCTCTCCATATTAGTGCACTAAGAGCTACTTTATTTCTTTTAATGGTTGCATACTATTTCACAGTTCAGTGAATCTACTGGTGGGCATTTGTTACTTTTAAAACAATACCATAATAAACATCCTGTTTACATTGATTTTTGTGTACTTTCATGTCTTTTTGTGAACTGCGTATCTAAAATGGATTAAGCTGATGTTTCAAAATTTGATAGGCTACCAAATTTTCTCATAAAGAGGTTGCTTCAATTTATATTCCTCCAGTGGTTTATGAAATAACCTACTTTCCTACACCTTTGCCAACGCTGGCTGGTACCAAATTTTAAGAAGATTTTATCACTCTCATGGCCAAAATATGGTAGTATTTTTGTAATTTGCCTTTTCCTATAGTCTTCATTTTATTTTATTTCCAATTTGCATTTTAAAGTGAGGCAGATTTTTTAAATTATGCATTATTTCTTGAGCTAGGAAAAATAAATTTTATAAGCTTACTGTGTAGGGGTAAAAGGGAATTTATTTATGCCAAATATGTATGGCCATATTTACATCCCAAATACGGGGTAGAACATATTTGGCATCTCTCTGGATCAGTAAAACACAATATGTGAAGCCCTAGTTTGGCGCTTGGTGCAGGCTGGGTATTTAATAAAAGTCTGTTATCTTTTATTCCTTTATTTTCCTCTTCCTCTTCCAGTTAATAGACACTCTCTTTTCAGTCTGTCTTGTTCTTTTACATTGTTCCCTTTAGTTGTTCCTCTGTTATCTGAGATAACAGAATGAATGATCTTTTCAATAAGTTTATATGAAAGGTTTCTGCCATGGATTTGTGGGACCCAGAGGGTAGGGCTTTGTAGTTTGCTATCTTCCAAAGTAAAATCTTGCATTTGACATTTTAGTAGCATACGTTCTGGATTTTTACTTGTCTTATGAAAAATGTCTATGAAGTTCTTAAGAGTAATTTGTAGAAACCTCTTGGCTTGGTAGACCATCTGCAGAGCTGGGCAGGTTGCTGAAATGTTAGATGTAGTCAGAGCCTTTTGGAAAAGGTTGTACGTCCTTGAATTGACCTACTGATAGAGTTATTGCAGTCGCAATCAAGATCTCATCAGGATTGTTATTATTATTATTTTTGGTAAATCAACAACTGATTCTAAAATTTATATGGAAAAGCAAAGACACTAATATAACCAAAACAATTTTGAAGAAGACCTAATTTGGAGGACTCATGTGACCTAATTTCAAGACTTTGTAGAAATACAGTAATCAAGACAGTGTGGTACTGGCACAGGTCAGTGGAACAGAAGAGAGAGTCCAGAAATGGACCCACATGTGATGTGGTCAATTGATTTTCAATAAAGGTGCACAGGAATCAGTGGAATAAATGAACAGTTAAATGTCTATGTGCAAAAATATGAACCTAGACTCATATCTTATACCACATAAAAAATTTAACTCTGAATTTATCATAGGCCTCAATATGAAACCTAAATTTGAAAACTATTGAACTTCTAGAGGAAAATGTAGGAGAAAATTCTGTGACCTTGAATTAGGCAAAAAATTCTTGGAAACCCCACCAGAAGCGTGAAATCATGAAGGAAGAAATAAATTAGACTTAATCAAATTTAAAGCTTTTGCTGTTGAAAAGTCAGTTAAGAAAATGAAAATACATTTCTTGGATGTATTTTCTCATACATTCATGGGGGAAAATATTTGCAAAATTTGTAAGGGTTGATATTTAGAAAAATAAAGAATCCTCAAAATTCAGTAATAAGAAAATAAACGATGCAATTAAAAAATAGTCCAAAAATTGACCATTTAACTCACCAAAGAAAATGAAAGAATGGCAAGTAAACACATGAACGGTTGCTCAACATCCTTAGTTATTAGGGACTGAAAAACAACCACAGTCTATTAGAATAGCTTTAAAAAAAAAAATCTTTGCTTCCAGAAGTGCTGCTGGTGACCTCCAGGTAACCCTCATGTACAGGAGCAATGATGTGGACTTTTTATGTGGGGGTTGTTTTAAATGGCCCTGTGTCCTTGCAGCATTTGAGCTGAATCACAGGTTATAAACCTGTGCTGCTTCATGATGGTTTTATTCAATATAATGGTGATCTTTGGCAATTTACAGAGCAGAACAGATTTCGACTTGCTATTTATTGTATTAGGAAGGGCTCTCCTGTAGTGGTGGTGTTTATCAGAGTTTGGATTAGAAATTAATGACTCAATTCTGTTCTATGTTTCTGGGTTTCCTTTTATTGGATCTTTAAATTTTGGATAGATTTTATCTGCTTTTAGCTAGTAAACTATGAAGTGTGACTGGAATCCTACTAGTTATACAGTAGTTGGATCTGTTTTTCATTTGTCTATCTGTCACAATGGGTAATTATTTTTTCTGGTTGTTTCAGGTGCTCCTTCTTCTAAACCAACAGTGCTAGCCAATGGCGACCATGGAATAGAAGGGAATGATACCACCGGTAAGTGGTTCCCAGGATCCCCCAAATGTGTGAGTGAAACACTCAAAACAAACACCTTGATAAGTTCCTTTGAGGAGGCTCGTTAGTGGAAGCACATGGATGATTTCTAAGGGTACTCCTAATCTTGTTGGTTGTATTGAAACCCAGGGCACCTGCCACATAACATTTCCAACAAAAGAAGGAGTGAATTTCATTTGATATTCCTTGAGTATCTGTTGCAGTTGTACCACACAGGCTGGATCAATCTTAACACTATGCCTATAGCTGCAGAATAACCATCATCAAAATACTGGAGTCCTTCAGCCACTGCAGCTCTGGGCGGATCTCTTCCCTGAAAGCACGCTGCACTTAGTTTGCTTTCCAAGGCTCAGTGTTAGGAAACTTGTGAGCAAGATATTGGAAGTTCTTTCCTTTCTCTTTTGCCCTCAGTCTGTTTTTCATTTATTTTTTCCCTTTTTGAAATCTGTCTCGAACGCCTCTCCCATTACTAGAGTTAGTGCTGAGTTCCTGTGGGTTCCCACCTCATAACTAGCGCCAATCCCCCACCCCCAGTGCATTTGTAGTGAGCAAAATTCTTGAAGCAGTAGCAGGGTCCACAGGGCCATACTACAAAAATCATTTCTTAAGTAGTTGATGTGAGAACCATAGTTGAATTTTTATAAAGAACTGCACATAATTTGCTTAAGTGCACAACCTAAGTTGTGATCAGATTGACACCGTTGACCCAAATAAAGGCTATTAATGATCCGGCACATTGTCCTCTGCAGCAGAGTGTGCTTTTAACTGGGGCGTAAGATTTGCTTCACATTACTGCAGTGGCGGCGAGTGCTAGGCATGTCTGTGTTTCTTTTCTTGCACGCATACCTTAGCCTTGAGAAGCCTTTCCTTGAGCCACCATAGGATTTTTTGGTTTCTAAAACTTCCAGAAAGCCTTCTTTTAGCAGTAGCAGTTATTCCAGGATTTATTCTTTATCCTGTGGCCTTTAGAAACATTGTATACATCTTTATAGCTTATAGATTTACTGATGACTAGGTTCTATTTGTTGTGAATGTTTGTTTTACCCAGTGACAATGTATCTTTATTAGCCACTCATAAATTAGAAACTCTTTAATTTGAAAGCTGGAAATAGCCAGAAGTGCTGCCTTACCTTCCAGTTTCGTGAACTGAAATTTTTGTGTTTCTTTGATAATCTTAGTTTGTATGTGGTATTGACTGTTTCTGTCTGCTTTGAAAGCAAATTTGTCTCTGTAATTTTGGTTTTAAGAAAACATTTATAAATCCCCATGATTAAAGGAGAAGAGGCTTGAACATGAACTTTTAAAAAAACAAATAGATTCAGCTTTCTGTAATGAGGAGGCAGTGTGGGGGGAAGGCAAGGTTTGGAGGGGATTTATTTGATTAACCATTTGTGAGCGTGATTACCATTTTCATCCAGGAAGCAAACAACCACTACAACTAGAGTAGGTTTCTTCTCCAGCAGGGTGTAAGCTCTGACCAGAAGAGACTCAGACTTGATGTAGTGGTTGTTTCCCACGGCCACGGGTTAACAATGTGGGGGGGAAAGTTCAGGAAAACAGGCAGCCTGGCCCTTACTGTTTGAAGACCTATGTTCCCTGGTGGCAAAAAAGAACCTAGCTGTTGATGAACTGCCCAATGCTGTGGGAGCCCATGATGGGGTTAACAAATTATAACAGACCCCAGCCACTTATCTCTTTAAAGAAGAGCAAACGTGGTTAGTAACCGCCTTGCTTGCATAGTTGAGGTTTTAGCAGCCACCCAGGCCTTTGGCTATAAACACTGGGCGTGCCTGCTGTTAGATAGTCTTCTATCCCCAAAACAGCCTTTGGCTGAAATGATAAACAAGTTATAAAAAGCTGCAGACTCAGAGGTGAGAAGGCTGGTTAGCCAATGGCGATAAGATCCCCTGAGGGGGGCAACCTAAGACAGGCACAGCCACCTGAGTCCGAGAAAAATGTTGTTAAGCAGCTGTTTCTTGTAAGTTCTGCCCTAATTAGCTAAAAGTCTCAACACTAACATGATTCACCAAAAAGGGTCTTCTGACCTTGAGCCAAACACCAACAATAAACAAAGCCTTTGTACTCATTGTGATCCCACCCTGTCCTTCCCTAAGTTCCTGCATTCCTCCTTTGACTGTACACAATAAATATGGGAGCATTTGAGAGGCTCATGGAGTTGGCTCCAGACTCCCTCTCGCTCTCTTGACTTTTTTCCACAGTCTCAGTGGGACTTCTGCTAGCCAGAACCCACATCTGGTGACAAACCCACACAATGCCATTCTGAGAGCAGGCCTTCCTCCTCTGGGACATCTCTCCACCCTTGTGTAGGATGCAGTTTGCGCACCTGGGAAGATATTTGTGTTCTGAATTTGATCTTTTGACTATATTAAAGCAGGTGCTTTACTGAAAATATGCATGTTTTATTGGGGGTGGGAAGGAATAGGGGGTGAACAGTGCATGTTTTTGGAGCATGTTGTGACTGCATTCTAATTTGGCCATCTCTAACTGGAGCATATAGCTCTGGGCCATTTTGAAATTTCCCATTCCTGTTTCATAGTGTTATCTCTAGTCCTAAGAGCAGACCAGCTCTGCTGATAGCGTGTAAAGGGTTTATGAGCATCTTGCTGTGTTGAACTTGCTGTTTACTAATGACCTGTGCTTTTCCGCCCTTTCCTTCCCCTTCCTACTTCTTCCTCCCTTTCTGTTTTTCTCCTCCTAGAAGCCTAGCGTGTCTCTCAACACTGGGGCTGCTGCAACACCAGACCAGTGATCTTTCCTAAGCACCGTTATACTTGTAAAACCTTCAGCATTTTGCAGAGCTTTGCTTTCCTTCCTGGACACGATAAAGAAGCTGAGGGTAGTTCTTCGGGGCCTATTCCTGCTGATGCCTGAGCAAACCACCTGCTTCCTCTTGTGCTCCGCAGGGCTTGATGGAACCTCCTTTCCCTTTGTGAGCACAAAGTACCAGAGGAATCCTTTTTAATTTTAGTATTTTTATGAAGGTCAACAAATGCCTTTTATTTCTTGTTCTCGTTTAAGTCTCATTTTATCATTTAATTCAGTCTCGCATTTTTCTTTTCTTTAAACATTTTTAGTTGGCGTTTTCATTTGGTTTTCAGATCTTCAGCCTGAATCAGGGTGTTGTGATGGCAAATGAGAATGTGTGCTTCCATAAAGGGACTGAGTCCACCAGCCCTGCTGTGAACCTCCCTTTTCCCCTCCTTCTGCTCCCCTGTGTGAGCTTGCTTTTAGGGTAGAGTCATCTTTCAGGCTACCTTTGTTTCTCTCCACCTTACTAACATCTGAATAATGATAGCTGTTTTCATTTAAAGTTTTCTAATTTAGAGTAGCTCTGATTAAACTTTGAAAAAAATATTTCTCAAATTAAATCATCCTTTGTTATTTGCAAGTTGGGCTGAAATTGTTTCTATTATGAAATTATGATCTATTTGTCCAGGCTTAGATTTTCCTGAAAATTTGACAACCTTATTATGTATGGAATTTCATATCCCAGATTTCTTTCTTATTATGATTGTAAACTATCAACATAATAATTGAGGAGTTAAGGAGAATGGAATCCTGTGTTGTTAAATACTGGGGTGTGGATACAGATAGAAAATAACTTCTTCTGTAACAACCTGAGAATGAAGCTAAATTGCAACACATTGAAGAATGACAACCAATTACTGGATTTCTATTGAAATGTTACCTGACTAGACTTAGACTGTTCAGGCTTAGTCTCCCTTTGAACTCTGGCGATACCTTTATGATGCTTGTAGTGGGACTGATGGTCACATATGAAGACTTGAGTGTCAAGCCCTTTACCATGAACCTGAGCATTTACCTTCACATATTCTGAAGATTGTCTCAGTGGGCCTTTCCTTTTCTCATTTCTCATTTTCCAAACTAATAGCTAAAAAACTCTGAAACCATCAGGGATAAGTACTGTGGAACTTTTCAAATGATAAGCTTTGATCGGATTTTTAGAAATAGAATACAAAATATGGGCCATGTTTTGAAATCATAGAGGAGTTCTGGTTTAAGATCTGGAATGTGAGATACTCTAAAATTTTCTATCCTCTTACTGACTACAGGTTTTTATAATCTGATTGTTTCAGATTAAAGTAAGTATCTGGCACCATGTTCTGAGGAAGATTTCGAGATGTGTATTGTTTTAGATCCTGTGATACAAAGCTACTTTGGGGATGGTAAAATTAGAATATTATGAAAGTTTAAACTGAGTCCCTGCAATGACTTCAGGAATTTAGGAAGCATTCCCTGTTGTGGTCACCAGGATTGGTTCCTTTGCCACGAATTGCTTCTGTGGGTTCTGGAGAGAAGACAAAGGAGGCACATATTAGGGGAAGAGCTTACCTCCTAAGCAGTTGATAAGTATGAAAACTCTTACCATAGGAGAAAAATATGAGAAGTACCATAGGAGATCACACCACTGAATAAAACAGCTCTTTCCCTTTGGTGTGTTATTGATTCGTAGGTTTCTTTGTGCCCTTTTTTTTTTCGGCCGAGGAGCTTTTCACAGCTGGGAGTGCTGACTTGCCATCCTTTTGTGTCTTCTAACTAGTCTCCGCAGCTTGTCTAAGTGATGCATGGGTGGAAAGCCTGGCTGTGACTCCTATGGGATGGCTGTGGTCAAAACCCCACACTCACACTCCATTATTGACATTGATTTATTCAACTTTAATTTGTTTTGTCATGTTTATTTTTGTTTGAAATTAGTTTTTTTTTCCAAATATATTTTCTTTTTGAACTTAGGAAATTGGTGAAATTTTCTACTGACAGCCAGCTGAAGTTTGGTGTATATGTAGCTCTGTTTCACTTGGATGTTTCATTTGGAAGGAAATAAATGTAATGTTTCACATACAGCTTCATGTGAAGTAGCCAGTCCTGTAATGAAATACTGTATGGCCATGATGGTCACCCCCAGTGGCCTGGTACCTCACTGGTGAGGCAGCCAAAACAGT